AGGTTTAGCATAAATCTTACCAGTACATTCGAGAGTACAACCATAATTCAAAGTCAATAGAAGTAAATATGAAATTATATATAAAGATGAACTTAAGTCTTAGTGAGTCAAAATAGCACCCTTAAGTTCGACTAGTTGCATTTAATATAAATATAATCTATAATACATTTTCATTTAATTGCAAATAACATGCAATTAAGTGTTTGAAAACATTACATTCAGTTTCCACTTAAGTATATTCTTTTAAAGTATTTTTTATTTCATATTAAGCACTCTTTTTAAAAGTATGCTAAAAGTGTACTTCTTTTCCACAAGGGACCTCTGTGCTGCTGGTGTCAAGCACTACCATCTGAGCTACAGGAGCAACAATTGTATGAACCAGTTTGTCATTCAGAGTGAACATCATCATTCCTGTCAGAGACACTTGCTAAAGGTCAAGCCTCGGTCATCTCACCAGGCAGCCAGACGTGCATGCGTGCATAGAAGTGAACTTCACTCTGCCTTTCTCTTTATTAAAAATTATGCGACTGGAGCTCCGGTCGGGCATTTGTGTGGCATTCACGTGCCATTCTCAAATGATGTATTTTCCAGACCACCCCACTGACATATAACAGTGATTTGTGTGAGGCAGTAAACGAGACTGACGGGTTCTCGGCAGAGGAGCTCAGGACAGAACAGCTTCTCTGTATTTGGTTCTGTAATGTTAATCACGTCTGTAGTGTGTAATTTGAACTGGGAGGTATCAAATAAAATTTGCTCTCAGATTGCTCACGCCTCCTACAGATAAACACGACAAAACAAAACCCTCCTCCCTGTGCCATCTCACCAGCTCAGCCCAAGATAAACCCACACACTCTGACATACAACGATGGCCTTATACGGTCACCATAGCTCTGTTCCCAAACCTAGCGAGCTGCCTTGTCATCTACTGTCTACATCTGCAGATACCTTCCAAGGCCCTGTTTACACCAGGTATTAAGATGCATTTTCAGTGATCCGATCACGAGTGGTCAGGACGCATTACCCTTTTCACCTGGTCTTAACATGCACATGTTCGGATTTTGTAAAGACCAGGGGAGTCCAAACACGCTCCTGGAGGGCCACTGCCCTACACAGTTTAGGCCCAACCTGCCTCAACACACCTGTCTGGAACGTTTGCCTAAACCTTGATTATGGTTTGTTTAATTGGGGATGTGTAGCTAAACTATGCAGGACAGTGGCCCTCCAGGAGCACCCCTGGTAGAGACACTCCCCTCTTATGGCTGGTACACATTGTGCGATATTGGGCTGTCCCAGACGAAAGATGACCAATCGTGGCAATTTCTGTGGTCGTGGCTCATAAACGGTGGTCCTATGTCGTACAGTTAGAGTGGTTCAAAGACGGCCGTTGTCACAGCCTTGCAACCAAAGACAGTAGCCGGGGATCATTGTCTGACAGGGTCAGAGATGTTGCATGATCATCTCACAGTGTTTTTGCTGCAACGACCTACAGCTTCTGACTAGCCAATAAAAATGCAACATGAAATGGCATATTTATCAACACGACATGGCGCTGAAACTTAAAACTACTTACCTCAAGGTTTATTTGCAAAATTGGCCTGCCAAGTTGGCCTCTTTTCCCTAGCCATGACCGTGTCCATCTTCTCTTCTTTCTTTTCCTCCTCTTTTTTTCAGCGCACATAAAAACCACAGTTGCCAAAGTTTTTCACACAAACAGTATTTTCAAATTTTATTGCAGAGACATCCTTTCCAGAAAGCATGTGCTTCAAAGTTCCTGAAAGATTTGTAACTCATACTCAGAAGTCCATTCTAGATGACTCAAAAATACAGCGCAAATATGTACGAAAAGAGGAACAAGGCTAGACAAAGAAAACATTTCTGCAGCATGCTACCATGAGTTTCGCCAACAAAAAAAGATCATGAGCTGGTTCTTTTAATTAATTGTTCAAAAAGACTCACAAACTCAAGAATTTGTGGTTTGAATCAGTCAGAAAAGAAGAGTAGGCAAACTTTAGGACATACACCTCATCATAAAATTATGATGTTGCATGGTTACATGGATTATATCACCGTAAACCAGTATGTCAATCATTCTGTCACAACTAACATTCATATACACACTCCACATTTTATTACATTTATTTTATTCTTCCTACCTTACTGGAGAGAAAACAAGTAGCAATATTAGCCAATAAAGTGTGCACAGATCCACACTTCGAAAATCTACTGGGAATAGTACACTTTTCAACACACTTGGAACTCTTATCGCACTTATTCTACTCTCACATTTAATTTGGATGGATAGTATGTGCATTGGGACACAGGGGTTCAGATTCTATCTGAGCAGTTATCTGAATCAACATACTGAATCACAGGATCCCTTTCAGTGAAGTCTGAATCAAAGTAAAGCGTGAACATTTAAAGGAGAACTCCGGCGCAAAATGAACCTTTGGTCTAATAAAACATTGGTACCTAGTCAACCGTTCTCTGAGATTTGTTTTCATGATAATCGAATGTAAAGAGTTTTATCTCTAAAAACTGTTTAGCGTATAACGCTAGTAATGGGGCATTTAATAAGTAAAAAGAAATCGCTTGTTAATACCACTAAAAAGGCTCAAAATATAGCCCCACACGAACACAGTAACATAATGAGGGTCCCTACATGCAAAACGAAGCATTGAGAACTTTGTAAGTGTACAGACAGTTTAATAAGAAAATAAAGATAAAGACAGTCCACTTCGAATATACAGACAGGAGCCATCTTTGGAAAACAGTCTCGACTAATCAAACCACGAACTCCATTCATACAGTTCAGAAGTTCAGAATTCACTATAAGGCTCAACGCATTGGTTCCTGCTGTATCAGTAGCCAATGAGCTTACATGCTCAGCCTTCAAATACTTGGTTAGCATTTGCCTTTGAAGTGCAGCGCGCTTTCAGAAACCCTCCACCTTCCCCAGCTCCACCTGTATAGATCTGCTGTGGGTAATTCATGTATTGTTATATTGTACAGCAGCAGCATGCCTTACTTGCTCACAGCAGCGTGTCGTGTATATATTGTATTGGCAGTAGCAAGTCCCGTACTTGCTCTGGAGCAGCAACTTCAATAACTTACAGCAGCAGCAGCATAGAGGATCTATTCTGCCTCGACCAAATCTATCAACATTGTCATACCTATAACCATGCCAAACACTCCGAGAGTTGTCATGACAGAAATGCAGTTCACTAAACAGACTGATCTCATGAAATGGCGTATGTATGACACGCCAATTCGTATTTCCATTTTTGGCGTGCTATCAACACGCATAATCGCTTTTCAGCGTGTTTATCAACGCCTTTGACTTAACGTTATATTACTGTATTATGTACATATAAATATATGACCTACCCCAACCCCGTCCCTAAACCTACCCGTCACTGGGGTTAATACCATTTATGAGTCTTCTCCTACCATCCTAGGAAAAGAAATATCGCTCCACAGATGTAGAATATAGATTTTGCTTCGTTTCGCTCGGACATTTAACGGCGTACACATACACGCGGAATCACTCGGACGTTTAATGGCGTAGACATACACGCAAAAGATTTCGGCGTGGACATACACGCGGATAGCTCAAAATGCGTATAGATAACACGCCACTTGAATTGAAAGTGGCGTGTATGTTTACGCAAAGTCATGATGTCATGTTGCACTAAATATAAAGATTCAGAGGCGAAACTTGCCAAAACTAGATCATCAGTCTGTTTCTCCGATCACAAAATCCCGCATGCGATTCATTGCCAGGACCATTAACCCCCAGCCCTCCCTAAACGCACTCAATTTTTTTTTTCTTCTATTTGTGGCCTAAATCTTATTATTGAGTTATTGAACGTACAGTTTCCACCTCTACAACAGCAGATCAGACAGACAGCAAACCTCAGCAGAATGAACATGCTGAGAGCTCTCACACACCCAGAGGAACTCAGTGTCAAACAGCGCAGTCTGACCAGGAAGCTTGTTCTAATAGTATCACAGTACATTAGACACTGTATAAATCATTAGTAAATCAACAACTTTGCTGCCATGCATTTGCAAACAATCTGGTTTAGTGACACACCTACATTGGCTCAATAAAGTCCCTCTTAAATATTGTATTAAATAAAATCAGTGGCATCAGCCAATGATGCTATGCCTCTACTAATTAGCTTTTATAAAAGCACAAACAAATAAATAAAATGTTTGTCTGTTATATTTCATTAAAACTTACTCAACTTAAAAAATGGTTTCCCTTTTTGTTGTCACTAAGCAAGCACTTATTTTTTCTACCTCTTCTTCCTTCCCACTTTTTACAATCCAATCAGTTCTTGATAGACACATTTTTTTTTCTTGTTGAACAACCTGTCTTACTTAGAAATATATCACATTACTGGAGTAGAATGGGTTGTGAATACGGCACGCCTTTTCCTGTTGACTTTAAGTGTGGATTACTGTAAGTGTCCAAATATTAAACAATATTCTCATGCATCCTAATACCGTCCTTTGCTGTAGTAAATCAGCACAAATAAATATATCAATGTGTTAAAACATGTTTTTTTCTTTCATCATTTCATTCAAATTTGAAAAGAAAAGAGTGAAAATGGAATGAGATATAGAATTCAACAGTAAATGAATGTATCAGTCTTTTAAAAAATGCTAGAACATTTCATTTGAAATCAACTGAATGGAGGTTACATAAATAATCAGGGTTCAGAAAAACATTCACTCTTCTTTTTGAGCAAAATATGTTGAGAGATAGATGAATGTTTCATGTTTTATGCCTCTCAACACAGTGTTGTTTTTGACAGAGATGTCTGTTAGGCCGTCCTTGACCTGGGTGCTCAAAACACTGCAGCCCATTTACAGAAAAAAGTCTTCTCTAGAACATTGTTGACATTCAAAATGATTTACATGGGAAAGAGAAGAAAATCTTTGAGTGGCTAACTTTACTTTTTTTCTCTCTCTGTCTGTTTTTCTTTTTATAGGGCAAGAGAGCTTCAACTCCAAGAGTTTGGCCCTTCAGGCCCAAAAGAAGATCTTGAGTAAAATGGCCACCATGGCCGTGGCAAACCTCCTCACGGACGACACCAGCAGCGAGATTCTGGACGAACTCTACAAGGCCAGTCGTGAATACACCAAGAGCAAAAAGGAAGCCCACAAGATCATCAAAGATGTCATCAAGATCGCACTGAAAATTGGCATTCTCTACCGGAACCACCAGTTCAGTCATGATGAGATGGAGACCGTTGAGCGCTTCAAAAAGAAGATGAACCAGGCAGCCATGACGGTGGTGAGCTTTTACGAGGTGGAGTACACGTTCGACCGCGGCATTCTTTCCGAGCTGCTGATGGAATGTAGGGACCTTCTTCACGAGCTGGTGGAGCACCACTTGACCATGCGGTCCCACGGGCGAATCGACCACGTCTTCAACCATTTCGCAGACGTGGATTTCCTGACCGAGCTGTACGGCCCATCTGAAGATTACAGATTTAACCTGAGGAAGATCTGCGACGGGATAAACAAACTCCTAGATGAAGGCACACTTTAACCTCCAGTTCACAGTCCGTCAGATGAGACTCCATCAGGCCGCTGGGATTCGAACTGAGCGATTTTACACAACTTGTGTGATTTTTGTTTGAAAGATGGGCTGTCATGATAACTTGATGATGGGATTGTAACCCAACCTGTAGGGGATGGTCACCCAGACGCAGATTAAAGTCAAATCCTGGTCTATTTTGTCAACATTCCGAATGATTGTTTGGGGAAAATCTGTTTAAGTAGAAAACCTGAATGAATCGGTGTCCCTAAAACTTGCCCTTTGTGTGAAATTGCAGGAACGTTTTAAATTACAAGCTCCTTTATATGCACTGTATGAAATTTGACCTACCTATCCTTTATGAATGGCCTATCAATGCAACCCTAGCTCTCTTCAGTATGTCTACAAGAACCAGTTAAGATGTCCAGTTAATCTACTCGAAAGTTAAAGGGATATAGTTCACCCCGAAATGGACAGTCTGTCGTCATTTACTCATCCTCGTGATGTTCCAAACCGGTATGGCTTTATTTTTTACTGCGGAACACAAAGGAGATGTTTAGCATAATCTTTCAAGGTCTCCTTTTCCGTAAAATGAAATCAACGGGAACAAAAAGTAACAATAAATGTACCATAAAAATAATCCACTGAAATTTGTCCATATTCACTGATAATTTCCCCTTCTGACAACTTTTTTCATTATACCAAAATTAGATAAAACAATCAGTTATTAAAGTTGCACAAAACAATGTCATTTGGTTTTATTGATGGCAAACCTGACCCAATTTGTTCTCACAGCATATTTGAATGTGGAAATGAACTTAAATATATCATTACTTCATTTTGAAGTCCAACGCCATTCACTTTCTTGTATGGATCACCTCTAAGTAACACAGGCTTGAAACAAGATAAGGCAAGTAAATGATGATGGAATTTATATATTTTGGATGTGCTATCGCTTTAAGATTGCAAAAGCATTGAGAGTTTAATAAAAAATGGCGCAGACCTTTGTTGAACAGAGTGTTTGCCAAAAATAAATAACTGAAGTGCAGCAGAAAGATTGTAAATAGACTTTGGGGTTTTGGTCTTTTCTCTTTTGCCTTTGTAATGACTCAGTGTCACAGCAGCTCCCATGATCCTGCTTGGTTTTTCCAGATCCTGATGTTTCAGAGCATGTAAATGTGTGTATACATGCAGGAGAGAAATGTGACTATTCCATAAGCCTGTTCAGTAACCCCAGAGTGTAGCACTATTAGCTATCATTAAACGGTCCATATGAACTTCCCGTAGTGTCCTTTTGTCATTTCAACTACTGTGATTGCTCTGAGTTTGATTAGCCCATACTATTTAGTCAGATAGAATGTCTATACTGCATTCCATACAAAGTCAGTTATGGGATATTTCTACTTCAATATCTTTCCCCTAACCGTAAAGCATTCTGTTGCCATTTAGAAACTGGTTTATTGTAATTCTCCAAGTAGGAATTTGGATGGACGAGTTGAATGGAGCTCATTATTATACTCAACAAATATGTTCAGTTAAGCCGAGTGCACACGATTTATAATAGTATTTTACGACTGTTGCTTGTCAGACTGAACAAACGTTATCTCCGCTGTAAGTCATGTCACACTGTGGGATCTCAGTTGTCTTCAAAGGTAATAGCTTTGAAAGCATGAGATCTCACCCTCCCTTCAGAGCGTCTCCAAAGCCACACCTCCTTCAAAACACATGAACGCACACAGCAGAGTTTGCAAAGCGTCACGAGATGAGAGGTGGCATTAAACTACCTCATGTCTCAAAGCACAAAACATTACAAATAATAATGAACAACTTAAAGAGCTCTTACTTGTACCACCTGACTGGTGCAGATTCATTTCGGTGTTTATAGTGTTGCCATTAAAACCAATAAATTCGAGTCACGAACCATTCTGAGTATAACATATAACGAATGCAATAATTGGACGGACATGTTATGGTCCTATGCCTTCCACAGAAGATATATATAAATAGGCTACATTTTGACCTTTTTACATTTTGAGCTTTTTTTTCACACAAAATGTGTACAAACGAAATTGTATCATCAACATTCATACAGTAAGTACAACATATGATCAATAACAATATGCTTCCACCATAATTCTCTAATTGACAAGCCCTGTTTCCCACTGATAATTATATCTTCCTGTGCACCTTGTAAAAATGATCATTCTGACAGGACTTGAATGCAGCATAATGTGTCTAATGGGAGTACAATTAAAATAACTATATTCTACCACAACTAAAGACACATTTCATACAACACAAAGAAGTTCTTGAAAATATGGACCAGATCCTTTAAATTAGAGAAGACATTTACTAACCATGTATGTCCGAGCTTTAAAACTTCCTTTTCTGTTAACATAAAGTTGTAATTCCTCTTTTCTGAACACATAAAGGGAACAGACTGGCATTTCTATGTTTGAAAGATCAGGTTTGAAAAGCATTAAAGGAGAACTCCGGCGCAAAATGAACCTTTGGTCTAATAAAACATTGGTACCTAGTCAACCGTTCTCCGAGATTTGTTTTCATGATAATCGAATGTAAAGAGTTTTATCTCTAAAAACTGTTTAGCGTATAACGCTAGTAATGGGGGCATTTAATAAGTAAAAAGAAATCGCTAGTTTATACCACTAACAAGGCTCAAAATAGCCCCAAACGAACACAGTAACATAATGAGGGTCCCTACATGCAAAACGAAGCATTGAGAACTTTGTAAGTGTACAGACCGTTTAATAAGAAGATAAAGATAAAGACAGTCCACTTCGTGTATACAGACAGGAGCCATCTTTGGAAAACAGTCTCGACTAGTCAAACCACGAACGACGTGCTAAGTGAGCTGAACTGTATGAAGTTCAGTGAACTTCTGAACTGTATGAATGGCGTTCGTGGTTTGATTAGTCGAGACCGTTTTCCAAAGATGGCTCCTGTCTGTATACACGAAGTGGACTGTCTTTATCTTTATCTTCTTATTAAACGGTCTGTACACTTACAAAGTTCTCAATGCTTCGTTTTGCATGTAGGGACCCTCATTATGTTACTGTGTTAGTGTGGGGCTATTTTGAGCCTTGTTAGTGGTATAAACTAGCGATTTCTTTTTACTTATTATATGCCCCCATTACTAGCGTTATACGCTAAACACTTTTTAGAGATAAAACTCTTTACATTCGATTATCATGAAAACAAATCTCAGAGAACGGTTGACTAGGTACCAATGTTTTATTAGACCAAAGGTTCATTTTGTGCCGGAGTTCTCCTTTAAGACAGAAATTAATGCAAGACAAAGACGCTTTAACGACAAACGTCTTGTAAAAAAATATTCTGTATTACTTGCTATTCATTCACTTTTAAAAGTGACTAGCACTCAAATTCCCTCTCAAAGCTCTGTGAGCCAAGGGGTCGGCATGGTCCATTTCATTCCCGTTTGGTAACTAAACAATTATGTGGGGCAAAAAAGTTATTTCTCCATTAACAGCCAATTAAAAGGAGACAGATATATTAAAGGGATAGTTCACCCAAAAATAAAAATTCTGTCATTAATTATACTCACCCTTATGTCATTTCAAACAAACCCATAAAACTTTCGTTCATCTTCGAACACAAATGAAGATCTTTTTGGTGAAATCTGAGGGATTTCTGTCCCTCTATTGACAGCTAAGCAACTGACACTTTGATGCTTCAAAAAGTTCATAAAGAGATCGCAAAATCAATCCATATGAATTGAGTGGCTTAGTCCAACATTTTCTGAAGAGACCCGATCGCTTTATATGATGAACAGATCGAGTCTCTTCAGAAAATTTGGACTAAACCACGCAATTCATATGGATTAGTTTTTCACCACAAATTTAACTAAAAATAAGTTGAAATAATGCAAATGGTAGCCTACCATCGATTAGCAATTAACCCTGGAACAGTAGATCTGTCTTTATAGGTTTATATAGCCTGGGAAAACCCAGACAACTTCCGGCAAATTTAGATTTGCTCTGAAAGTTAATCTGGCAAAGAGCTCATTCAAGCCCATTTCCAATCCGTCGAAATCGAGGCACCAATCAGAAACGTTGGGGCGGGCTTTACACGATGACGACAGCGCTGGGATTTTGAAGCAGATTTTGTAGCCTACATTACAAAGATGGATGCAGCGGTCGAACATCACTCGTTCGAATCAGCTATCGCATCTGTTTTAAACGATTTGAACGTTTCCTTTTTGTTAAAAACCGAGCAAAGAACAACACTCGGAGATGTTTCTCCGCCGCTCTGCATACGTCATCTCCTTCATCGCTCTGATTGGTTTTAGGTCTATCCGCGACGTCCGTTGGTGACGCCCCTCTGGAAATGATTTGTCTATGACGCTTTGCCAGACCATAACTCAGTTACAACTGAGAATGGTCTGGTTTTAACCAGGCTAAGGTTTATAAGTTATTGGTTAAAAATGACCTATAGAAAAATGAATGTTTTTACTTCCAAAACTCTGCACACTGTATTAAAGCAGATGTTTTGCCAGTAACTAGTTTCTTGAGGATTCTTAAACTAATTGCTTAAAGTGATAGTTCACCCGAAAATGAAAATTCTGTCCATCATTTCACTCACATGTCCTTCCATACCCGTCTGACTTTCTTTCTTCTGTGAAACACACACAAACAAAAAATGCTGTTTTATGTTCATATAATGAAAGTCAGTGGGGTCCAGTGTTGTTTTGAACCCCCTTGACTTTTATTTTAGGGAATAAGAAAAAAAAAAATTCAGGGGCATATTTCGCCCCAAAACATCACAGAAAAAGTGAGATACATAAGCAGATTCTGTCTGGGCTTGCTAATGAGGAATGACGCTAATTTTTTTCGAACAGCTCATGATCTTCCAGTGGCTTCACAGATCGAGAATGTGCGACTGAGAGTCCAAATTTAGCTGCAGCAGCAGACGGCATGAGTCGGGTTGCTCAGAGATGAAATAATTGGGTTATTAAAGAAAAGAAAGACATGACAGGCTGTTAGGCATCAACAGGCTGCAAATCAACACACACACACACTCAAAAAAAAAAAAAAAACACACACAGTGTGCACTAACTGGGGAACTTTAGTAAAATGAATGACAGAGCGCTGATCAAAGCAGTGGTTTTGCTGCCTTCAGGGGAGGCAAAGTGTTTTTTTTTAAATAGCACTCGAACAATTCAAATCGATTAAACTCATGGTTTGATTTGTCACTCGAAGATGTTTTCACTGCAAGATTAAGTGTCTTAAATCTGTACATTTGTGAAATAAATTATTGCTTAAAGCTGCAGTCCGTAGCTTTTTTGGGGTTAAAAATTATCCAAAATACATATTTGATAAAATACATAACCAGCCAGTGTTCAAAACTATCTGCTTGCTTTAGCTCGATTCAAAACGGTAAGCTTGTAATAATGTTTTTAATTCCAGTGGTATTGGTGGATTTCCGCAGGAGATTCGAGCATGTCTTTGCGTCATTACGTCACATCTGTACACATAAAGAAGGAGTTTCGGCTAGTAGGCTATATTGCGTTTGCGTGTGACTGTGAGGATGCTGCGGTGGAGATTTATAGCCTTTTCTCACAGCACTTGATATAATTAAACTTATCAATTTGATGGCAGGTCCAGAAGGGTTCAAACAACAATCACCAGTGACACTGGAGACTCACCCGTTGTAGTTCGGACTTCGGAGTGGCTACAGAAAAAAAAGAGACTGAAACCGGACCCATGCGAAAACAAGGATACATATCGGAAGGACATTACATGATGTAGTCACGCAATGCTGACGTTGTTAACATTAACAATTTGAGAACAAAGTATAATTTGCACGGTTTTGCGTGATATGATAACTTATAAGCGATTGTTAGATTTAATCAGCGCGATTTACTCATAGACTGTAAAAAATGGATTTACTGCAATGTCAGAACCAGGACAAAGGTGGATGTTTCTTACTAGTTCAGATGACATTTTCCGGTGAAAATTATGATGTTGGTCATACTTCCAAAAAGAATAATCTGTGATTCTGAATACACTCCACACCGGCGTGGTGATTGACAGCTCACTCTCCTCAAACACTGTGTTCATCCGCGCTGTGCCCTGTCGAGAGGGTGTTGAACTACAACTCACTTAAAGTTGATAATTCCGCGAATGATTGCAATTGCAGATTTCGAACAGAGATGGCGACAAAGAGGGAAAACGCCGTACTGCAGCTTTAATGATATCATCACAAAGTTTTCTAAATTGTGGTCATAAAAAAATTAGGG